CTTCAAACTAAAACACTCGAATGTCTCAGAGTAACACAAAGCAGGATCAGTGTGTGTGTTTGTCCTCGAGTCTCGCTGGCGGGTGTTTAGGGACCTACCCATCTCCATCTCCGCCCCCTGATCCCTAACCCCACCCCTAATCCGGCCCATCTCCACCCCCTGATCCCTAACCCCACCCCTAATCCGGCCCATCTCCGCCCCCTGATCCTAACCCCACCCCTAATCCAGCCCATCTCCGCCCCCTGATCCCTAACCCCACCCTAATCCGGCCCATCTCCGCCCCCTGATCCCTAACCCCACCCCTAATCCAGCCCATCTCCACCCCTGATCCCTAACCCCACCCCTAATCCTACCCATCTCCGCCCCCTGATCCATAACCCCACCCCTAATCCGGCCCATCTCCGCCCCCTGATCCCTAACCCCACCCCTAATCCTACCCATCTCCGCCCCTGATCCCTAACCCCACCCCTAATCCAGCCCATCTCCGCCCCCTGATCCATAACCCCACCCCTAATCCAGCCCATCTCCGCCCCCTGATCCCTAACCCCACCCCTAATCCAGCCCATCTCCGCCCCTGATCCCTAACCCCACCCCTAATCCAGCCCATCTCCGCCCCCTGATCCCTAACCCCACCCCTAATCCAGCCCATCTCCGCCCCCTGATCCCTAACCCCACCCCTATTCCTACCCATCTCCGCCCCCTGATCCCTAACCCCACCCCTAATCCGGCCCATCTCCGCCCCTGATCCCTAACCCCACCCCTAATCCTACCTAGATATAAAGTCCCTATAAACATCAGACTGTAGGTACCTCCCGGGGGGTTTGGAAGAGGGTTCTGGTCCCCAAAGAACAGATCACAAAAATGATGTTGATGTTTTAGGGAAGATGGATGTTTCTGGAGTACTTTTGGAAAAGCTTGTATGAAAGTTTCGAGTCTCTGGTGATCTCTGCCTCTCTCTTTCTGCGGTACGTGACCCAGATTTCAGTGCAAAATAAAGATAAAGAAACTGAATATATTTTTGAGAGTGAAAACGATATGTGTGTGTGAACTAAGATAGCTGAAGGAGCTGATGATCAGAGCATGCTTTACCGTGGTGAAGTCACCGTACCAGAGCACAGCTTAAAGGAGGAGTTCACTTCAGAATTAATATTCCCCCTTAATTTACTCTCCCCACGTCCTCCAAGATGTTCATGTGTTTCTTTCTTCAGTGGAAATGAAGGTTTTTGAGGATGTTTCTCCATATAGTGTCTTCAATGGGGTCCAACGGGTCGAAGGTCAGATGTGAGTTTCAGTGCAGCTTCAAAGTCGAGGAATAAGAGTCTGATCTAGACAAACCAGCGACATTTACAACAGAATACACATTTATACACTTTAACCACTAATGCTGGTCTTGCATTCGCGATTCACTTTTTTAATTTTCACTTGTGTGTAATGTTGTTGCTGTTGGTGCATGGTCGCTAAGACTTTATCATTTTAAATGTATTTGCATGTATAATTTCAGACGTAATGTTTTCGTTTTATCATATGCCAGCGCTGGCTTTATAGCCACTTACTTTTGCTATTTTGTGTCTACGACAAACGCGTACAAACATTATGGACCTGAATTTTGTATAAGTAGTACTAATGTTGTAAATGTATTTCTCATGTATATATACTTTATGACATCATTTTCGATTTGATCAAGAACGTAAACCAATGCCAACGCTGTTTGTGTATATAACGTTAGTAGCCATTCAGTTCAATGAAACAAACGTGTATAAAGTTAAAAAATATAAGCAAATTACCGTTTCGTAAGAGCCGTGTGTGGTGAGGTTCTGCTGGACTCTTTCTGGGTCTGATTTTGGCTCATACTGATGCTGCAGTACTACACTTTAGCCAATCACAACACACCGGCCCAAACTAACCAATCAGAGCCCACTGCCTGTTTCTGAGGGCGTGGTTTCATAGAATCAGGAAGTCAACCTCTCATTCAAGGACAGAGGAGAGCGCGGCTTACAATAAAGCTGAAGTTTATGAAAAATGAACTTTAGAATGTCTAAAGTAGACCATCAAAATAAAGTGTTGTCTAAATTAGTGTCATGATAACTCATAAAAATACAAAATATTGACTAAAAAACATTATTGAATAGTGTTCTCATATCATTGAAATATTATAAAATATGTCCTTTTTACCGACACGTGAAGAGCACTGATCACCCAACCACACTAAAGTCACCATGAAATTAAAATTGTGTGTGTGTGTGTGTTTGTGAGTGTGTGTGAGAGTGTGTGTGTTGAGCTGAGCTGATAAGTAATGATGAATTACAGTGAAATGTGCAGCTCTATTATCTAAAGGTCAGGATGTTCAGCTCTGGGTGATGGGGGGATTTCTTGAAGGAGCTTGTGGCCTTTTCTCCCCTCTCTCTCTCTCTCTCTCTCTCTCTCTCTTCACCCCCCACTCCCTCTCCCTCTCTCCGTTTTTCCTCAATATGATTTCCACATGTTACTCTTGTTTTCAGATTCCACAACCTATAGATCTAAATATCAGCCTTGTAAAAACTCCTGAACACTGAACACACACACGTCCAATGATCCTGTGGAATATTGTGTGCAATTGAGAATCCATTAAAAATCTATTTAATCAGCTGAAATATTTCATAAACAGAGAAAGATGTCTATTTTTCTGCAGGATTATGTGTCGATCTATTTCATCAGTTTATTTATTATAGCACTTTCCAAATCAGCTTTAAAGAGAAACCGCTTTACATCCTCTTAACAAACTCTCAAAGATTACATAAATCCGGAAGAACTTGAAGAGGAACAAGCACTTTCTTCATCTCTTCAGTTTCTGTCCGATGCGTGTCGAGTCAGTGTAGTTTCTGCTTCTGTTTTCTCACACAGAAGGACTGTGGAGTGGATCGCACATCAGATGTGATGGAAACACTCGATGGGTCTGACTCTGAAACACACACTAATGGAGTACGACTCGAGGTCAGTGTCCTGTCATAACTCTGGACTTTAACAGACCGTAATAGATCATGTCAGTTGTTTAATCGTGTGTGAAGCCACAGATCTTCAGACGCCAGTGTTCATCAGCTCACTCTTCATGCATGTAATATATCCAATCCTCTTCCTCAAAGCAAGCTTGACTCTCGTTTGGTTCTTTGTTTGTTGTATTTTTAGTGGCGGCATTATTTGGGGTTGCCATGGAGACAGTGATACAGTCACACCACACTGTGGTCAGCGCTAAAGGGAAGTTGCGCTGGTCTTCGCTCTATGCACGGCGGTATTTCCGGTGAAGGATTAAGGATGCTCGATAACTTCCGCCGATCGTTGAGTCCAATGCAATACCGAGAATTTATATTGAATTTTATGCTCCATGGTTACACTAATGAAACGTTAGTCACAAAAACAAATAAAACAGACACCCCTCGTTGTGTTTATGCTTCTTTTAAAAATTATATTAAATAAACATAACTATAAAATTACATCTAAACGTATGTACGTTTCGTTTCAAAGACGGGAGGACAGTATATTGAAGACTCTGCCATAATCCCGTTTTCTCCGGTTTTCCTCCGCTTTAATCTACACAACCGGAAATGGACGAGCATGCGGAACTTGTGCGTGCATATAGAGAATTGAATTTTATACTCCAGGCTACTAAAGAAACATTAGTCACAAAAACAGACGAAACAGACACCCCTCGTTGTGTTTGTTTGTTTTTTTAAAAAAATATATTAAATTACATCTAAACGTATGAAAGTTTTGTTTCATTCATTTTGTTTCAGTACATTTTGAAGAATCTCCCCGACCGGAAACTGAAGAGCATCCTTGCGTCAAATGCAGAACTTATGCGTGCATATCACTGTTTATGGTGCATCGAACAAGAACAGATGTGGGCGGGGCTTGATTGTGTCTGTGTGGAATTGATTGGACGGTTGTGGTTTGCTATTGGCTGATCTCATATGAGTGACAGGTTATAGCTTCGCCCTGTGTGAGTTCACTTCACACTGGAAAACTCAGGTCTCAGATCAGTGGATATGTGACTGGTTTTGGTCCTTCTGTTGGACTCTCACACATGAGTTATGTTGAATATCTCTCAGCTGTTAAATTTAACTCCACAATTAGATAATACCAGTTTAGCTCAACCAGTGACCAAGCAAAGCTTCATGTTGTTCAGTGTGTGTAAAAAGAGCAGAAAACACACTTCAGTAAAACATCATCAGCTCAAAGTGGAGGAGTCATTTTCACTGGTAGTCTCTGTATGAAGAATATTTGTGTGTAATATCTTACAGTTTACTTTATTTTGCTCTCCACACTTACAGAAATGAACTGATCACACTAGTGAAACATATACAAAATGATATCTGGTGTGTGAACGATTGTTGGTTTGACTGTATGAATGTGTGTGTGTTGTGTTCGAGTGATGGATTGTGTTCTGCCTCCCTCGTGTGGACACACACTGATATTACAGCGACAGATTCCTCATCGACTGCATTATTCTGCTCGAGCTGCGTTACTGTAGCTTTTACAGTACACACTACACAGGGAATAGGCTACTGTGCTGACTGGGGAATAAGGCGAGCGAGATGCATAGCCTACATAGGCGACTTCTAATGGAGTATTATATGAAACTGAAACTTAAGATTTAAAAGTTTACAAGATGATTGCACATATATGCGAAACACGTTTCATTACTGAGAGTTTTTAGTTCTATTGTTATACTTTGTTCGATTTATTGTTTAAGTTTTAACGAAATGGCATGTTTTAAATACACTGTTTATCTTTTTTGTGACCATTTACTCCAAATCCTGTGACATGTGTAACTTAGTTTACAGAGTTTGAGTTTATGATGTAGTTGATGTGAAGGTGCCATGGAGCACACACACTAACCCGACCCCTAAACCTAACCATCACACACACACACACACACACACACACACACACACACTGGTTTTTCTGATGCGGAACAACAAGTCTGGACAAACTCTGCTGCTTCACTTCCGAATGTTTGAAACACCTCCAGCGCCTCCTCCTGCACACACACACACACACACACACTGGTCGTGAGGAGAGACAGCAGCACCGGACCGATGACGGATAACGAGCGCGCGGCCCGGAGCCTGAGGCAGGTCCTCCTGAAGCCGGGGAACGGGCGCTGCTCGGACTGCGCCGCGGACAGTGAGTTTATTGCTTAAGTTACTCTATTACCGAGCCGAGCAACCGGAGACCGGAGCGTGAGCGCGCGCGAGACATGTCCGAACCTGCGCGCGAGCGGATCAACGCGACTCACGCGCGCACAACTCACCTGAAACACCGCGCACGCGCGCGACGTTAACAGGTCTTTCTTTCAGCAACTCATATGGAGACAGTGTTTTACAATATTACATTATCGTGTGCGATGCTATCCCTGATATTTAGTGTTCATGAACTCTATGCGGAATATCGACCCGTTTTAAAATAAGAATAGACTCGTGCGCATGCGTGTGTGTGTGTGTTTCCAGACATACCTGTGTAATTAAAGACTGTAGCAGTGTTTGTAAAGGGAGGGCTGATGGTTTTAATTGGGGCTTGTGTTTGTTCTCGTGTAAGGCAGGATTTGATTTCAGAAATTTCAGATTTTAGATTTTTGGTTTCAGTGTGTGGATTTTAATGTTTAGAGATGATAGAGAGATCAGGATTGTGTTTGTCTGGACAGGACTGGAGACGGCCCAGAGTAAAGGTGTGGCTGAGAGTCTGAGACTACAGCACATGATTCTGGGAAAGACAGATACACACAGAGATAGTGTCGGAGAGAGAGAGAGAGAGAGAGACTTTACTTTAACAAATTTAACTGTATAATCCCAAATTTCATAGACCTGGATGACATTTCTAAATTAAACTTTCTCCTGGGAGAAGGAGACAACTTATCTTGCTGCCCAATATATACAAACATGCCACAACCTGAGGGGCAGTGAGTGAGTGATCGACACACACACACACACAAATATATCCAAATATTGTGTTAAATGTTTATATATATATATATATATATATATATATATATATATATATATATAGTATTGTATATTTTGTATATGCTTTGGCAACATTGTTTGAAAAACTTTCATGCCAATAAAGCCCCTTTGAATTGAATTGAATTGAATTGAATTGAGAGAGAGAGAGAGATACAGACTGGGGGGGGGGGGGGTGGAGTTGAGGAGAGATTAAGAAATAGGAAGTGGGTTTCTCTCTGTGATTGTGAGAGAGTGTGTGAATGTGCATTTGTTAGAGAGAGATGTTTCTGCACATGAGTTCAGCTTTATATTATTATCATGTAAGGGATAATAAATGTACATCCAGCCGGTTGATATCTCAGAATAAACCCGACAGGGAGATCAGGATCAGGTCTACAATCAGCCTGACACACACACACACACACATAAGTCAAGCCATCTTCATTGATGACGTAGATGAGTGGTATTTTAATTAGTCGTTTGTGTGTGTTTTACTGGTATGTGTATGTGGGGTTTACCTGTTGTGTGACCTGTGTGTTTACATGCCTGCAAGACAAGTTTCCCTTAGGGGATAATGAACTGAACTGAACTGATTTAATAGCGCTTTTAACGATGTATTTAAAAGAATGTTGTTGTCGATAGTGTCAAATGCAGCTCTGAGATCGAGTAACACTAATAGCGAGACACAAACACGATCGGATGATAAGAGCAGATCATGTGACTCTAACGAGAGCTGTCTCGTTATTATGATGTGCTCTAAATCCGGACTGAAGATCCTCGCAGATATCGGGACTTTCCAGAAAGGAACACAGTTGTGAGGATTCTGCTTTTTATAATATCTTTGACAGAAAACGTAGACTCGAGATCGGCCTGTTATTGACTAATTCTGTACGATCAAGTTGTGTTTTTTTATTGTGTTTTTTTATTTGTTTAATTATAGCCAGCTTAAAAGTTTTTGGGGTACTTATCCTAGCGACAAAGATGAGTTAATGATCTTAAGAGGAGGATCTCTGACCTCTGGAAGCGTCTCTTTCAGTAGTTTAGTCGGTAAAGTGTGCCAGTGTGTGTTTCTGCCAGTGTGTGTTTCTGCCAGTGTGTGTTTCTGCCAGTGTGTGTTTCTGCCAGTGTGTGTTTCTGCCAGTGTGTGTTTCTGCCAGTGTGTGTTTCTGCCAGTGAGTGTGTGTTTCTGCCAGTGTGTGTTTCTGCCAGTGTGTGTTTCTGCCAGTGTGTGTTTCTGCCAGTGTGTGTTTCTGCCAGTGTGTGTTTCTGCCAGTGTGTGTTTCTGCCAGTGTGTGTTTCTGCCAGTGTGTGTTTCTGCCAGTGTGTGTTTCTGCCAGTGTGTGTTTCTGCCAGTGAGTGTGTGTTTCTGCCAGTGAGTGTGTGTTTCTGCCAGTGTGTGTTTCTGCCAGTGTGTGTTTCTGCCAGTGTGTGTTTCTGCCAGTGTGTGTTTCTGCCAGTGAGTGTGTGTTTCTGCCAGTGAGTGTGTGTTTCTGCCAGTGTGTGTTTCTGCCAGTGTGTGTTTCTGCCAGTGTGTGTTTCTGCCAGTGTGTGTTTCTGCCAGTGAGTGTGTGTTTCTGCCAGTGTGTTTCTGCCAGTGTGTGTTTCTGCCAGTGTGTGTTTCTGCCAGTGAGTGTTTCTGCCAGTGTGTTTCTGCCAGTGTGTGTTTCTGCCAGTGTGTGTTTCTGCCAGTGTGTGTGTGTTTCTGCCAGTGTGTGTTTCTGCCAGTGTGTGTTTCTGCCAGTGTGTGTTTCTGCCAGTGTGTGTTTCTGCCAGTGTGTGTTTCTGCCAGTGTGTGTGTGTTTCTGCCAGTGTGTGTTTCTGCCAGTGTGTGTTTCTGCCAGTGTGTGTTTCTGCCAGTGTGTTTCTGCCAGTGTGTGTTTCTGCCAGTGTGTGTTTCTGCCAGTGTGTTTCTGCCAGTGTGTGTTTCTGCCAGTGTGTGTTTCTGCCAGTGTGTGTTTCTGCCAGTGTGTGTGTGTTTCTGCCAGTGTGTGTGTGTTTCTGCCAGTGTGTGTTTCTGCCAGTGTGTGTTTCTGCCAGTGTGTGTTTCTGCCAGTGTGTGTTTCTGCCAGTGAGTGTGTGTTTCTGCCAGTGTGTTTCTGCCAGTGTGTGTTTCTGCCAGTGTGTGTTTCTGCCAGTGTGTGTGTGTTTCTGCCAGTGTGTGTTTCTGCCAGTGTGTGTTTCTGCCAGTGTGTGTTTCTGCCAGTGTGTGTTTCTGCCAGTGTGTGTTTCTGCCAGTGTGTGTTTCTGCCAGTGTGTGTTTCTGCCAGTGAGTGTGTGTTTCTGCCAGTGAGTGTGTGTTTCTGCCAGTGTGTGTTTCTGCCAGTGTGTGTTTCTGCCAGTGTGTGTTTCTGCCAGTGTGTGTTTCTGCCAGTGAGTGTGTGTTTCTGCCAGTGTGTTTCTGCCAGTGTGTGTTTCTGCCAGTGTGTGTTTCTGCCAGTGAGTGTTTCTGCCAGTGTGTTTCTGCCAGTGTGTGTTTCTGCCAGTGTGTGTTTCTGCCAGTGTGTGTTTCTGCCAGTGTGTGTGTGTTTCTGCCAGTGTGTGTTTCTGCCAGTGTGTGTTTCTGCCAGTGTGTGTTTCTGCCAGTGTGTGTTTCTGCCAGTGTGTGTTTCTGCCAGTGTGTGTGTGTTTCTGCCAGTGTGTGTTTCTGCCAGTGTGTGTTTCTGCCAGTGTGTGTTTCTGCCAGTGTGTTTCTGCCAGTGTGTGTTTCTGCCAGTGTGTGTTTCTGCCAGTGTGTTTCTGCCAGTGTGTGTTTCTGCCAGTGTGTGTTTCTGCCAGTGTGTGTTTCTGCCAGTGTGTGTGTGTTTCTGCCAGTGTGTGTTTCTGCCAGTGTGTGTTTCTGCCAGTGTGTGTTTCTGCCAGTGTGTGTGTGTTTCTGCCAGTGTGTGTTTCTGCCAGTGTGTGTTTCTGCCAGTGTGTGTGTGTTTCTGCCAGTGTGTGTTTCTGCCAGTGTGTGTTTCTGCCAGTGTGTGTTTCTGCCAGTGTGTGTGTGTTTCTGCCAGTGTGTGTTTCTGCCAGTGTGTGTGTGTTTCTGCCAGTGTGTGTGTGTTTCTGCCAGTGTGTGTTTCTGCCAGTGTGTGTTTCTGCCAGTGTGTGTTTCTGCCAGTGTGTGTTTCTGCCAGTGTGTGTGTGTTTCTGCCAGTGTGTGTTTCTGCCAGTGTGTGTTTCTGCCAGTGTGTGTGTGTTTCTGCCAGTGTGTGTTTCTGCCAGTGTGTGTTTCTGCCAGTGTGTGTTTCTGCCAGTGTGTGTGTGTTTCTGCCAGTGTGTGTTTCTGCCAGTGTGTGTGTGTTTTCTGCCAGTGTGTGTGTGTTTCTGCCAGTGTGTGTTTCTGCCAGTGTGTGTTTCTGCCAGTGTGTGTTTCTGCCAGTGTGTGTGTGTTTCTGCCAGTGAGTGTTTCTGCCAGTGTGTGTGTGTTTCTGCCAGTGTGTGTGTGTTTCTGCCAGTGTGTGTTTCTGCCAGTGTGTGTTTCTGCCAGTGTGTGTTTCTGCCAGTGAGTGTTTCTGCCAGTGTGTGTGTGTTTCTGCCAGTGTGTGTGTGTTTCTGCCAGTGAGTGTTTCTGCCAGTGTGTGTTTCTGCCAGTGTGTGTTTCTGCCAGTGTGTGTGTGTTTCTGCCAGTGTGTGTTTCTGCCAGTGTGTGTTTCTGCCAGTGTGTGTTTCTGCCAGTGTGTGTGTGTTTCTGCCAGTGTGTGTGTGTTTCTGCCAGTGAGTGTTTCTGCCAGTGTGTGTGTGTTTCTGCCAGTGTGTGTGTGTTTCTGCCAGTGTGTGTTTCTGCCAGTGTGTGTTTCTGCCAGTGTGTGTGTGTTTCTGCCAGTGAGTGTTTCTGCCAGTGTGTGTGTGTTTCTGCCAGTGTGTGTGTGTTTCTGCCAGTGTGTGTTTCTGCCAGTGTGTGTTTCTGCCAGTGTGTGTGTGTTTCTGCCAGTGTGTGTTTCTGCCAGTGTGTGTGTGTTTCTGCCAGTGTGTGTGTGTTTCTGCCAGTGTGTGTTTCTGCCAGTGTGTGTGTGTTTCTGCCAGTGTGTGTTTCTGCCAGTGTGTGTTTCTGCCAGTGTGTGTGTGTGTTTCTGCCAGTGAGTGTTTCTGCCAGTGTATGTTTCTGCCAGTGTGTGTTTCTGCCAGTGTGTGTTTCTGCCAGTGTGTGTTTCTGCCAGTGTGTGTGTGTTTCTGCCAGTGTGTGTGTGTTTCTGCCAGTGTGTGTGTGTTTCTGCCAGTGTGTGTTTCTGCCAGTGTGTGTTTCTGCCAGTGAGTGTTTCTGCCAGTGTGTGTTTCTGCCAGTGTGTGTGTTTCTGCCAGTGTGTGTGTGTTTCTGCCAGTGTGTGTTTCTGCCAGTGTGTGTTTCTGCCAGTGTGTGTGTGTTTCTGCCAGTGTGTGTGTGTTTCTGCCAGTGTGTGTTTCTGCCAGTGTGTGTTTCTGCCAGTGTGTGTGTGTTTCTGCCAGTGTGTGTTTCTGCCAGTGTGTGTTTCTGCCAGTGTGTGTTTCTGCCAGTGTGTGTGTGTTTCTGCCAGTGAGTGTTTCTGCCAGTGTGTGTGTGTTTCTGCCAGTGTGTGTGTGTTTCTGCCAGTGCGTGTTTCTGCCAGTGTGTGTTTCTGCCAGTGTGTGTGTGTTTCTGCCAGTGTGTGTTTCTGCCAGTGTGTGTGTGTTTCTGCCAGTGTGTGTGTGTTTCTGCCAGTGTGTGTTTCTGCCAGTGTGTGTGTGTTTCTGCCAGTGTGTGTTTCTGCCAGTGTGTGTTTCTGCCAGTGTGTGTGTGTGTTTCTGCCAGTGAGTGTTTCTGCCAGTGTATGTTTCTGCCAGTGTGTGTTTCTGCCAGTGTGTGTTTCTGCCAGTGTGTGTTTCTGCCAGTGTGTGTGTGTTTCTGCCAGTGTGTGTGTGTTTCTGCCAGTGTGTGTTTCTGCCAGTGTGTGTTTCTGCCAGTGTGTGTGTGTTTCTGCCAGTGTGTGTTTCTGCCAGTGTATGTTTCTGCCAGTGTGTGTTTCTGCCAGTGTGTGTTTCTGCCAGTGTGTGTGTTCTGCCAGTGTGTGTGTGTTTCTGCCAGTGTGTGTTTCTGCCAGTGTGTGTTTTCTGCCAGTGTGTGTTTCTGCCAGTGTGTGTGTGTTTCTGCCAGTGTGTGTTTCTGCCAGTGTGTGTTTCTGCCAGTGTGTGTTTCTGCCAGTGTGTGTTTCTGCCAGTGTGTGTGTGTTTCTGCCAGTGTGTGTTTCTGCCAGTGTGTGTTTCTGCCAGTGTGTGTTTCTGCCAGTGCGTGTTTCTGCCAGTGTGTGTGTGTTTCTGCCAGTGTGTGTTTCTGCCAGTGTGTGTTTCTGCCAGTGTGTGTGTGTTTCTGCCAGTGTGTGTTTCTGCCAGTGTGTTGTTTCTGCCAGTGTGTGTTTCTGCCAGTGTGTGTGTGTTTCTGCCAGTGTGTGTTTCTGCCAGTGTGTGTTTCTGCCAGTGTGTGTGTGTTTTCTGCCAGTGTGTGTTTCTGCCAGTGAGTGTTTCTGCCAGTGTATGTTTCTGCCAGTGTGTGTTTCTGCCAGTGTGTGTTTCTGCCAGTGTGTGTGTGTTTCTGCCAGTGTGTGTGTTTCTGCCAGTATGTGTTTCTGCCAGTGTGTGTTTCTGCCAGTGAGTGTTTCTGCCAGTGTGTGTGTGTTTCTGCCAGTGTGTGTTTCTGCCAGTGTATGTTTCTGCCAGTGTGTGTTTCTGCCAGTGTGTGTTTCTGTCAGTGTGTGTTTCTGCCAGTGTGTGTGTGTTTCTGCCAGTGTGTGTGTGTTTCTGCCAGTGTGTGTTTCTGTCAGTGTGTGTTTCTGCCAGTGTGTGTTTCTGCCAGTGAGTGTTTCTGCCAGTGTGTGTTTCTGTCAGTGTGTGTTTCTGCCAGTGTGTGTTTCTGTCAGTGTGTGTTTCTGCCAGTGTGTGTGTGTTTCTGCCAGTGTGTGTGTGTTTCTGCCAGTGTGTGTTTCTGTCAGTGTGTGTTTCTGCCAGTGTGTGTTTCTGCCAGTGAGTGTTTCTGCCAGTGTGTGTTTCTGTCAGTGTGTGTTTCTGCCAGTGTGTGTTTCTGTCAGTGTGTGTTTCTGCCAGTGTGTGTTTCTGCCAGTGAGTGTTTCTGCCAGTGTGTGTTTCTGCCAGTGTGTGTTTCTGTCAGTGTGTGTTTCTGTCAGTGTGTTTTTCTGCCAGTGTGTGTTTCTGCCAGTGTGTGTTTCTGCCAGTGTGTGTTTCTGCCAGTGTGTGTTTCTGCCAGTGTGTGTGTGTTTCTGCCAGTGTGTGTTCCTGCCAGTGTGTGTTCCTGCCAGTGTGTGTTTCTGCCAGTGTGTGTTTCTGCCAGTGAGTGTTTCTGCCAGTGTGTGTGTGTTTCTTCCAGTGTGTGTTTCTGCCAGTGTGTGTTTCTGCCAGTGAGTGTTTCTGTCAGTGTGTGTTTCTGCCAGTGAGTGTTTCTGCCAGTGTGTGTGTGTGTGTGTTTCTGTAGCGTTAGACGGTGCTTCACCTTGTTAGTGTTCTCCAGCTTCAAGCCGCATCGCTCTGGTTATTTCACTCAAGCGTCTGTTTTCCAGGAATCCTGATGATGTAATTCAGTGTTCAGTATCTCTTCCTTATTCTTTCATTGTAAATATCATGTTTGAGCTGAGTCAGCAGTGTAAAATATTATTAAAATCCCACTGTGGTGAAAATCAAACGCATTGCTGAGAGTATTTCCTCCTTAAAACTGCAGTGAACTAGCCTGACTTCGTCATACTCATATTCAAGAGAGAATATGAGTCTGAAACTCCTCAGTTGGGCTTTGATTATTTGATTCGTAACAGAACCAGGAAAAAAAACCCCTCTGCACTCAATTGGATAGTCGGTAGATCTACAACCAATCAGAGCAACGCATAAGTCAACTCCTTTGCATAGCGCAGTTTTCAAATACAGAACGTAGCCTAACTTTATTTATTTTAGAAGTTAAATAACGAGTGTTACTTCTTTTACTTACTTCTCCATGAGTGCCACCAAAGGAGAAACCAACGACCGCAGGCTTTTCATGACGTCCCATCTTCTTAGCGACCGTCAGAGTCAGCTGACAAGTTACACTTTTCCCGAGTCATGTAGGAAGGACGCCAAAAATATCTTTCCGATCGACAAATGCCTTGATTGCAGTTCTCTGTTTGTCTATTAAAATGAATGCGCTGTCGATTTATTTTACAAACAGACGCGACAGCGGAATCTATACATCTCAATTCTCCAGCTGCAGTCATCTCTTTGATAACGTGATGATTACGTCCCTGCAGATCACCTGTCAATCATCGTATAAAGCCCGCCCTGGCAATTTGATTGGCTCGTTCATTTTTTGCCTGATCATAATTTCTCCTCAATGGATCGAGTCCAGACCGAACTTCCTGACCAAAAAGTGTTGTGGGTGGAGTTCGGGCTGGCATCCAGGCCAGCAGTGGCGAGGGTGTCGAGTTGCATTCAAGATATTTTAAGGCATTTCAAGGAAATATTTAAATATGTAATTTTGGTGATCAGAGATGAGTTTTAAGGGATAACATGATTGAAAACAATGATCCGTTCATCTGGATATCAGTGGGGAAGCATCAGCCGAACCTGCAAACGACAGTGTGTCAAACACCTTACGTGCTTTCATATATATGCTATCTATTAATCTCTCTCTCTCCCTCAGATCCGGAATGGGGCTCTTGTTCTTTGGGAGTCTTCATCTGCCTGGCCTGCTCCGGAGTCCATCGCAATATTCCCAGCATCGGAAAAGTCAAATCCCTCCGACTCGCACGCTGGGAGGATTCAGAAGTTCAGGTGTTCAACGTCTCTGTTCTGAGAATAACCACAGTTTGTCTTTGCTGAACTTCAGACCCATATCAGTGTGATTTCAGTATACTGTTATAATATTTAATAATGTTATGAATTAGCTTTTTTTACACTTTCAGTTTTCATTTTAGTTTGAGTAACTTTATGTGCATCTGTTACTTTAAACGTAGGATAGTAAACCGAAACTGGAAAGTTCTTGTTCTCCGTCTCACGGCGTCCCTCAAGGCTCAGTCCTCGGACCTCTTCTCTTCAATATTTATTTGTTACTCCTTCGTCATATTATCTGTTTCCATGGTCTCAGTTACCATTGTGATGCTGCCCAGCATGCAATAGCTCTCATTTCACCATCCAGGTTACCTATAGACCCGATATAGTCCGGCTATGAGTAACACACTTCTAGCCAAATGATCAAGCTAATAATCTGAATAATGTTATTTTCTATGCAAAGTTTGAAAACATCTTGCAGGTTTTTTACCCCACACTAGAACAGTTCATATTGCCCATGAAGATCAGCGAAGATCATCAGACTTGAATTTCAGTCTGTTCCTCACACAAAGTGTCATATGACTTCAGAAGACATGAGTCATATGAACTTTATGATGCTCCAGTCGTGGTCTTTATGAACTGTTTCTGTATCTTCTGTTGTGTTGCACAGACAACATCAGGGTTTAAAACTAAAGTGTATAAGCTTTAAACAATAAATAAATAAATAAAAAGCACGAGGCATCTGATTGATGTTGAATAAATGGCTGTTTTATTGTTTTTAGTTCATGTCTGAGCATGGGAACGACACCATGAAGGCCGTTTATGAGGCTGCTGTTCCGGTTTACTACTACAAGCCCACACACAGAGACTGCCAGTGAGTTACCGTGGCAACACGCCACATCTCCACACCAGCACATTATGATCAAACCCCATGCCAGAAACCAGAGCTTCACTCGTCAGACTTTCTGGAATGACTGGATATGGAAATATCCTCTAAAATACCACTGTGTCATGTTCTTCAGCCTGAGGAAACCTCTAAAAAGCTCTGGCAGTCGTTTTTTTTCACATATATTTAATTATTTATTATATTTATGTCAATTATATCAACTTTAGAGCATTTAACTGAGTTCATTTAGCTGTAATGAGAATTAATACAGCTGATCGGTGGGCTTCAGAGAGCATGCATGTCTATGACTAGAACTGTATATTTCACTTAGTTATATAATCATTATAATTCTTCTAATTAAACCACAACAAACTGCTGTTCGTCACTTTGAATGTCGATCCGGTGATCTTTTCCTTCTGTCTGGATGTGTTTTGGCCAGAATGATCTGTAAAATGGGCAAAAAATTATCTAATTTAGTATTTTAGTCATTTATCTCGAATGACTAAAATACACACTTTTTGCTTTAATATTCACATGCGTTTAAACCTTAAATCTGGATGTTGAGTGGGAAAAAGCTGATGGATTGATCGTTCGATAAGAGATGATTGGATTGACAAGGGGAAAGTTCTGCGTCTCACGGCGTCCCTCAAGGCTCGGTCCTCGGACCTCTTCTCTTCAATGCTTATTTGTTTTATTCAATGTTTATATTATTTATTTTTAACTTAATTTATTTGTCTACGTGTTCGTAGAGGTAACACTTTACAATAAGGTTCATTATTTACACATTAGTTATTGTATTTACTAAAATTAACTAACCATGAGCAATACGTTTGTTACAGTATTTATTAATCTTTGTTAATAATAATCTAGGTGATCATTGTGTGTTTATGTTAGTTCACAGTGCATTAACTAATGTTAACTAAAACAACTTTTGATTTTAATAACATATTAGTAAATGTTGAAATTTAAATTAACTAAGATTAATAATTGCTGTAAAATTATTGTTCAGTCTTAGTTTGTTGTAGTTAACTAATAAGGCTTACTGTAAAGTGTTACTGTAAAATGATTAAAATAAAATAAATTGCAGAAATAAGACATTAGGAATTTATATAGAATACATTTAAATCTGTAGTGATGTGCATTACCACAAGAAATAATCCTTGTTCATCCCAGTTTGTTAAAACAATCGTTTACAGTCCATAAACTAATCCTGAAGACGATCAGTCAAGAGACTAATCTGTGCTAGTGCGGGTCAGGATGAGTGTGATGTAAGTGTGTGTGTGTGTGTGTGTGTGTGTTAGGGTTCTGAAGGAGCAGTGGATTCGGGCCAAGTACGAGAGGCAGGAGTTCATCGAGGACGGCAAGAAGCCACACTATGAGGACGGTACGTGCGCGTCTGATTCTCACAACACCCCGTTTCTGTTTCCTGCTTGATTGACATGCTCGTTGGCCAATCACAGAGCCGAGAGACGGCATGCTGATGAAGAGGGGGCGGGACAACGGACAGTTTCTCAGCAGGCGATTCGTCCTGTCGTTGAGGGACGGCACACTAAAGTACTACACTAAACTAGACGTGAGTGTCACATCACGTGATCAGTCATATACTGGGACAGTTTTGGCTCATTTGAATGAGATGTTTATATTTTCTGTTTTTATATGAATGTTACTTTAGGTATTGGTAGTTTTGTTGTTTTTTTTGTAAGTGTAAATGTTTAGTTTTTCTATTTTCAATTTAATTTTAGTTCGTTATTTGTGTTGTTAGTGTGTCGTTTTTTATTTGAGTTTGAATGTGTATATGCTGTAGTTTTGTTTTTATATTTTCTGTTATTCTTTTACTTTTACTTAAAATTTAGCAAATTAATTGTTTTTAATATTTAAATTAGTTTGTTTAAAAAATATGTATAGTGTGTATAGTTATGTATAGTACCTATGTATAGTTTTTATTAAGTTTACATTTTTTTTGTTTTTATTTCTAAATAATAAATAAATAATTATGAAAATGATGTACAAATATAATATGTATATATATATATATATATATATATTAGGGCTGTGCAAAAATGAATTGCGATTAATCGCATCCAAAATAAAAGTCTGTGTTTACATAATATATTTGTGTGTGCTGTATAAAATTATTTTGTATATATAAATACACACACATGCACGTATATATTTAAGAAAATGTGTTATTCATTTATAAAATATTTACATAATTTAGATTATGTATTTATATATATATATATATATACAGAATTTAAGCTCAAATAATTCTTAAATATTTACATGCATGCATAGGTATTTATATATATACAAAATAATTATATACAGCACACACAAATATATTATGTAAACACGGACTTTTATTGTGGATGCAGTTAATCGCAATTAATTTTTGCACAGCCCTAATATATATATATATATATATATATATGAAGAGTTCAGATGCAAAAGCCTCTAAGTCCCATTTGAAAATTTCTTCTAGAATGATAATTTTTACCAAGTTTGTATATTTAAGTTTAGTAATTTCACTTAAATGGCAATGATAATTACCTATTAATTGTTATTTAAGTGAAATTACTGAACTTAAATATACAAGTTTGATAAAAATCATCATTAAAGAAGAAAATTTCAAATGGCATTTAGAGGCTTTTGCATCTGAACTCTTCATATATATATTTTTTTTGTGTGTGTGTGTGTTGATTTTATGGTTATGGTCGTGGTCAGCGTGGTAACTCTGGTATCTCTGCAGGCTAAAGAACCGAAGGCCGTTATAAAAGTGGACACACTCAACGCCTGCTTCCAGCCCGACAAGATCGGAAACCCCAACGGCCTGCAGATCACCTACATCAAGGACAACATCACACGAAACATCTTCGTCTACCACGACAGCAGCAGAGTGAGAGACAACACACACACACACACACACACACACACACTCACTCATATCTGAGACTCTGAGGCGTGTGTGTGTCTCTCCATCAGGAGATCGTGGACTGGTTTAACGCTCTCCGAGCCGCTCAGCTGCATTATCTGAAGGTTGCGTTCCCTGGAGCCACGGATGCCGAGGTCAGTCCACAAACACCTTTATAATCTCCATTTCAGTGCAGCGTAACTCACAGCTCTCTCTGCCCAGCTGAAGCCCAAACTCACACGCAACTTCCTGAAAGAGGGATACATGGAGAAAACGGGCCCGCGGGTGAGACGTGCTGCCACACACACACACAAACACACACACACATGTATTCAGCAAACGCATGAGTGATGACAGGAGGAGCACAAGAGCTGATTGTGATTGTCCGCAGCAAACAGAAGGCTTTAAGAAGCGCTGGTTCACCCTCGACCACCGACGCCTCATGTACTTCAAAGATCCTCTGGTAAGAATCCAGCGCACATTAATCTGTACTGCGCTTTTCACAACACACACCGTTTCAGAGCCGCTTCACAGAGTCCACATTACAGTCCAGAGTGACTTCTGGATCTCAGAAATCAAATCACACTGTTTGCTAAAAGTGTATTAACTCTTTCCCCGCCAAACACGGAATTTTCCGGGTTTAATGAAAAAACGCATCTGCGCCAAACACGGAATTTTCCGGGTATCCGTGTTTTAGGTGGTATACGGTAAGGAAGACCCGTGCGCATGTCCTGAATGATTGCGCAACTCTTTGATCACAGAAACAGATTGCAATCGTCTCAAACAGTGGAGTAGTGAGAATGTATCAGACAGACAATGCAGAGGTATATGGCTGAAGTACTGGAGGTTAATGGACTCGGAGTCCGATCACTCTTTATTTGATCATTCTGAATCTGATCGGGACGAAGTAGCCTAGTCAGTGAGAGAGATGCACATGTTGTCACAGAAAGTTCTAGCCATGGACGTGCCGCAGATAGATCGTATAATATTATGACACTATAATATGTATGTGTGTGTGCAGGCATTTATGTGTGGCTGTCTAAATATGAAGGTGTAATTGTCAAATTATTTCTCTCTTTGTGCACATTTACCACATTGTAATATGTATTTGTGTGTGTGTGTGTGTGTGTGTGTGTGTGTGTCTAGGCCTGTTTATTGTAATTCCAATTATTCATTATTCACAGGTAGAACACAGAGAGGCAGAGGCAGAAGTTTTATTGCAAAAGTTACATTTCCCTTACATCCTGGGAAATTTGATATATTTTACATTTATTTTATGTTTTTAATTTATTTTGGAAAGTTTTATATATGAAGGAAACAACATCTGAATGTATTCTGCTTTTAAATGCACTTGTTTGATAAAAATACCTTTTTCTCAGTTGTGTTCTCAAAATGTTGTGTTTTTGACAAAACCTACCTCTGTTCAAGAGGCAATAAAAAAAGAACAGATGAAGATAAAATAAAAACGTTTTTTAAAAACGTTTTTTTTGCCTAAAAGCAGAGGCTCTTTATTTATCTTTATTTTTATATATATCATCTTCATATATTCATGGAAAAAAATATTCAGCGGGGCATTCAAATTTAGCGAAAATCGTCAAAAACCCTGGCGGTGGCTGGCAACTTTTTTTTAAAACGCTGGCGGGGAAAGAGTTAATTTACTGAGTGAGTAGACGCTTTCATCAGACGCGTTGCCATGGTGATGAGCTGGCCCAACGTTAACTTCCGCTCCGTTTATTAGTGTTTACTGGATAATGTGGCATTGACTACAAATGCAGTGAAAGTTGAGGTGATGAGCAGGTTGTTGAGCTGGGAGCAAACGCAATTTTTTAAAATAAAAATGTTAAGGTTATTATATTATTAAAATAGCTATGTTTATCTGAGTGATATCTGGTACAGTGTTTCCCATACATTTATTAGTGGCAGCCCACCATATTACCAGCGCTGACCGCCACATTAATTTCCGTGACTTATACAGTATTGCCAAAGCATTGGCCATTACATAGGCAATGAACAAATAATCAGTAAATTATTTGTCTCCAATTTTTGTTCAACGGTTCTGGTAGTGTCACAATTCAGTTTGGCCAAGTAACATTGCTAAATTTACTTGTTATGGACAGTGTTGGGTAAGTTACTCTAAAAAAGTAACTAATTACTAGTCACTAATTACCTCTTCAACAGTGTAATTAGATTACTGTACTAATTACTCTCTCTAAAAAGTATTTAATTACTTTTAATTACTAATTACTTTCAAAATCCCATATCAATCTCAACCAGCTGAATAATACAAGGACAGACATGAATCTGTTTTAATTCTTTCAGATAAATACTATAAAATTGCATGAATTATCCTTAAACTGACCAAGGAGAAGGTTACATTATAAAAACATACTTTTTAGCATCAGACGATACATTTTGATGTTAAACCCACTATTGTTTTACGTATGTCTGATCTCATGACATTTCACACTTTTTTCATACATATTTTTTTACACGAATTTGTACGAGTGCGGTCGTAATATTTAGACACCTCATAAAATGCACACGAATCGCTGTGAGATCGGATTGATCTATACACAGTATTTACCTCAATTACATCAGAAGTAACTGTAATTAAATTACAGATAAATGAAGAGTAATCCCTTACTTTACCTTTTCAAGGGAAAAGTAATTAAATTACAGTAACTAATTACTTTTTACTTTTTACTAATTACTAACAAATTACCGTTTTTTAATGCTGTTACTGCTGAAAGCGTCTATAGGAATAATACAAATGCTTCTCTGTTTACTGTTTGGAATATTAGTTTTAGTATTGCAGTATTGCATTTATCACACCAGTGAACGAGTGAAGCCCTGACCAATTACAACACTTTCCATCTTGCGTTCACATGCATTTACTGTCAAACCAAAGTTTATTCAGACTCCTTCAACATTTCTCACATCATCAGTTTATTCGCTATAGTTTAGAAAATGGTAATACAATATTAGCAGAACTCAGTGGATATTTGACTGGTTTTGACTGGTTCTTGTGTGTTCAGGACGCGTTTGCTAAGGGCGAGGTGTTTCTGGGACACCGGGATCAAGGGTACCGGGTCACGATCGGACTCCCCGCCGGAACGCACTATAACGGGACGTGGCAGTTCGGGGTCACTATACAAACGCCCGAGCGCAGCTTCCTGTTCACCTGCGAGTCTGATGTGGAGCAGAAGGAGTGGATGAGCCATTTCAATGCGATCCTGAACACTCCCATGAGCCCACAGGAGTATACAGGTAACACACACACACACACACACACACACACACCCATGGCAGTACCAAACACGAGTGTCGTGTGTTTTGCAGTGGAGGCGTACTTCAAACACAAATACTGATGGACCGCTCGGCGCCTCTGACCTTTGACCTCTGCAGCGGATCTTCTGATATCTGTTTTTACGTTTGTGTTGTTTGTACATTGTACTATGATTCTGTCTGTGTATTAGATAGATCATAATACCTTTTTTAGCTGTATATTTGCGTGTTCATCCAGTTTGGTCCTAAAAGCTCCATCTAGTGGTGAGATTGAGTTATTCAACATCTGAAACCTTCAGTTTTGTTATTTTACTGAAGTGAATTCAGCTCACTTTGATGTAAAAGCCAATTATCTGGTTCTGAACACACTTTTCTTCACATAATAAAGGAATAGATCAGAAAAAAAATGATTGTTCTGTCATTGGTTTCTCTTTCCATGTCGTTACAAACCCCTTTTTCTCTCTAAAAACATAAAAGAAGTTTAGCAGAATGTTCAACAGTTAGTAGCCACTACATCAATCCTCAAAAAACAACCAAAAGGCTTTATAAGTGTCCTTGCAAAAGTGTTCACCCCCCCTTTTGTTTACGTTTTTTTTTTAACATTTTGTCAGCCTTATGATATAAATGATTTTTTTTTTCAGTCTCAATACCCCATAATAACTAAGGAAAATCCAAATTTGAAACTATTTAAAATAAAAAGCATAAGTTTTCAGCATACTAAAAGGGGTGTGAATACTTTCGCAATGCACTCTGTAACTCCATGTTCCCTTTCGGTCGAGGACGCCAGACGTAGTTGACGTCGACTGAAATGGGATCACGCCAATCTTCTTCAAGTATCATTAGGACGAGCCAATGCACTGCGGCGCGGGTATAAATACGCAAGTAGATGTGCGCAGCAGTTGCCTTTCGCTTCGGAGCCGAGCTTCATGTTCAGGTCTTCTGAAGAGTGTTATACAGCGAGCGAGTGTGTCGGTGCTTCTCCTGGAAGTCTAGTGTTATTCCGCCCGTTAGTGATGCGCGGGTCGACTTGTAACCCGCGGACCCCGCGGGTCGGGTTGGGGCGGGTAAAGAAATTGTCACTTTATTTGCGGGGCGGGTCATTAAGTTGTTTTATTTTTTATTTTTTATCCATGTATGTTGCTTGCAATTTCCAGCCTATATTAAATATTTGGGAATATCTATTTTCATATTTTATAAGGTTACAATACGATTGCCGTAGCAACGTAACTTGCGTGAGGTTCCCAAACCTTTGGTGTCACGTGACACGTCATGAAAGCGCTGCGACAGTGTAATGAACAGGCTGGTATTAAAGTATTCACTGTAAATCTTCCCCTCCGCTACAGTTCTGGTTCAAATGTCACATGACCGTTCATTCTGGTATTTGAATGTGCATGGACACAAATGGGGTTTAAGAGCATTTTGAGGAGAAGATGTGTTTGGGAGGTGATCGCTCACATGAGCAAGAGGATATTCGTGCGCTGTGTGTGTTTGTAAGTTGGTGTGAATGGAAGATTATTGACTTCTGCTGATGATCGGGGTGTGTGAAACGGCACCAGGGTGTTCGGAGACTTTGAGTGGCTCGAATGCTGAACGTCAGATCACACCTACCTGAGAGAGAGAGAGAGAGAGAGAGAAGAGATGGACACGAGAGAATCCTGCAGACACAACCGAAACCAAAGTCTCAACACAACCACTGCTGGAGAACATCACATTTGTGATCTCACAGACGGCGCTTCGTTCTACGATGAGTTGGATCATGGGACTGCTTAGGACTTTTTGCCGAAGGAGTTGTAAGTCTGTCGCTCCTCGTTCATGTCGTACTTTGATGTTCGAAGAGGCTTTTTTCTGCCACACGTGTTACACAAGAGTGTTTTCCCAGCGATGCCATAGGATAACTATTTTGGGAACTGTTCAGTAAACCCTTCTGAAGAAAACCATCAATTTAATAACCTTTTTTTTTTTACTTTAAAGTTCCTTTTGTGCAATGGAATGCAACAGTGTTCAGATGCCATTGAAGAACTTTTATTTTTAAGTGCAAACAACAGCTCAGTTTTGTAGGAAACTTTCAAACTCATTTTCCGAATAATGAGTAACAGCAGTGCTGTGGCGGCGGGAGGCGCGGGAGTAGTTTGGGTCACTCCGCTTCTGGGCGCCACCCTGATCACCATGTGTGTTCTGGGCGTGACGGGTAACCTGTACACCCTTGCCATCATGCGTTCGGCTACGCTTCGGCGCGCCGGATCCTTATACGTCTTCATCCTCAATCTAGCGGCGGCTGATCTACTCTATCTGGGAACCATCCCATTCGTCGTCTGCACGTATTTCGCCCACGATTGGTTCTTCGGGGAAATGGGCTGCCGGTTGCTATTGAGTCTGGATCTGCTCACCATGCACGCGAGTGTGTTTGTGTTGGCAGCGATGAGTTTGGAGCGCTACCGTGCCGTCGCCACACCTTTCCGCGCACGGCGCTCGACCACCCGCGGACACTGGCTAATGGTGTTGGGAATCTGGGCAGTCGCGTTTGTGCTAACGCTCCCGATGATGGTGATGATCCGACTCCGAGAGGGACGTCCTCCAACAGTGGGGCTTGTTAAACGCATTTGCTTCCCGACATGGACGCCTGAGGCGTTTAAGGCGTATCTCACCGCGCTCTTCGTCACTAGCATGCTCCTGCCCGGCCTGCTGATGGTCGGACTCTACGCAGGTCTCGCCCGCCGGTACTGGGCCGCTCAAGCCAACCTGACCCGCGGATCCTCGACATCCATCCGCCGGCGCAGACTGAAACACAAAGTGGTGGGAATGATCTTCTGCATTGTTTTGGCGTACTGGGCGTGTTTTCTGCCGTTCTGGGGCTGGCAGATGGCCAAGCTCTTCTCGTCCGAGTCGCTCCGCTCGCTGTCGCCCGCCGCTCACACCTACGTCAACTTCTTCGTCACCTGCCTTACGTACGGAAACAGCTGCGTCAACCCGCTGCTTTACACGCTACTGACACGCAACTACCGTGACTACCTGGCCCAGAGAGGTCAGTCCTCGGGGTCGAGTCGCGGGGACCAGGGTTCGGCCGCAGGGATCAACGCGCTTCAGGATCAGATAGGATGACTTCTGTTGTGAGAGTGTAACGTGAATTTAGAAATCAGTGGATATCAGCTGTTTTTGTTTGTTCTATTTTTACCCTTGATTACTAAAATGTTCAAAAGTAACAAAAATGTATAATCTCTGCACGTAACAAAATTGCAAAACTAAACAAGTGGTGCTTACTGCAGAGCCAGATGACGTCCAGCTCACCCTCTCTGGACGCAATCGGTGGATCTAACCTAACCTGTATCCAGAGAGGGGGAGCTCGATGTTAAGCTCCACCCATTACATCCAGAGAGGAGAAGTTTGACATCAAGCTCCACCCATTACACTAAGAGAGGAGGAATTTGATGTCAAGCTCCACCCATTGCGTTCAGAGAGGAGGAGCTTGACGTCAAGCTCCACCCATTACACTAAGAGAGGAGGAGTTTGATGTCAAGCTCCACCCATTGCGTTCAGAGAGGAAGAGCTCGACGTTAAGCTACAGCCATTGCATCCAGAGAGGAGGAGCTTGATTACGTTCAGAGAGGAGGGGTTTGACATCAAGCTCCACCCATTACACTAAGAGAGGAGGAGTTTGACATCAAGCTCCACCCATTGCGTTCAGAGAGGAGGAGCTTGACGTTAAGCTACAGCCATTACATCCAGAGAGGAGGAGCTTGACGTCAAGCTCCACCCATTACATTCAGAGAGGAGGAGTTTGACATCAAGCTCCACCCATTGCGTTCAAAGAGGAGGAGCTCGATGTTAAGCTCCAGCCATTGCATCCAGAGAGGAGGAGCTTGATTACGTTCAGAGAGGAGGGGTTTGACATCAAGCTCCACCCATTACACTAAGAGAGGAGGAGTTTGACATCAAGCTCCACCCATTGCGTTCAGAGAGGAGGAGTTTGACATCAAGCTCCACCCATTGCATCCAGAGAGGAGGAGCTTGATTACTTTCAGAGAGGAGGGGTTTGACATCAAGCTCCACCCATTGCGCTCAGAGAGGAGGGGTTTGACGTCAAGCTCCAGCCATTGGCTCTGCAGTGAACAGCCTCTCGAAATAATAGCTGTGTTCGACTTTAAGCGGCGCTGCACAGACCAATCATTGTTTGATATGAAAGTACTGTGAGAGCGATTAGAAAGCAGACGCTCCGAACACACATATTGACTGTTTCCCAACAGGTTTCTCAAACACTTCCTTCGTCTGTCATTGGTCAGATCATGGGATTGGTTGAGTCAGGAGTTGACAGGCTACTCTAACAAACATATCAATGTTCTGAAAGTGTCACAGTATTTCACTCCTCAAGAAGATGAACCTACCGATGGATTATGGTGACTAATATAGATATTTTTATTTGGGTCTTAATATTCATTCAAGTTTTTCATAGCGCTTTTCACAATATGCAGCGTTTAAAAGCAGCTTTACAGAAAATGATTGAGTCCACATTACAGTTTACAGTGATCTGTTATCGGAGGACACTGAGTTATGTATTCCAGAAATGTATCACAGTTAGCTAAAAATGTATTCATTTTAACAATGTAATCATTTAAGGCAGAGACAATGAGCTCATTGAAGTAATGAATACTTGTTTGTTAACAAATGATTATGAAGTATTGAAAGATGTAGCATTGGTGCATGTTGTGACAGATGCACGGAAGCACTGCAGTGTTCGATTGGACACAACAGTGGAAGATATGGGATTCGAGAAGTGCTTCTCTTCCCTTTGATAAGCTGATAAGTCCCTGTTTGCTGTCCTCACTATACATGATAGTATGGTTAATGGTTAGATTTTTATTATTTGCATCGTTGTTTTTAACTGCGGTTTTTAACAGTGTGTGACCCGTCGGATCAGGCCTGAGATCCATGTTTGCACCAGAGAAGTATAATTTAAATATGTATTGTAGCTGTAAGTTCTGAATATGAATTACACTGACGGACTGTCTTTATGGTGCTTGTTTTTATTTATTTGTACCTGTGGGCTTTTAGGATTAATTTAGAATAATGAATGCAATACTGGCTCCTCACAAGTTAAATTAGTAAAAAGTTTAAGCTAAATAAAGTTCATTTACTTATGATCATTCAACTGGCAAGTGAACTCTTAAATGGTGGTGGTGGTGGTGGTGTGTGTGTGTGTGTGTGTGTGTGTGTGTGTGTGTGTGTGTGTGTGTGTGTGTGTGTGTGTGTGTGTGTGTGTGTGTGTGTGTGTGGAATGTGTTTTCTGTCCGTCACATTCCTCAGCTCTTGCTTCGGACCTTTTCGAGTCTCTCTGTAAATTATCATGAGGATCCTGTTTCTCTGAACCGAACTCAATCAGTTTTTAATTTTCTTTATATATAGCCTATATATATATATATATACCCTGGTGAAAAAAAAAAAAGCTACTTGCAGCCAGACTAATTCGGTATATTGTTAATGTTTAGTTAACTTGAAGCATGGCATTTTGGAACAACTCATTTTGTACTAAGTATATTTTAGTTATTATTAAATTTAAGTGTATTTAGTGTATGTTTTTAAGCTAAATTGAAACAACTTCAGGTATGCCTGTGTAGGGACTAATTACATGCTTGATATTAAATTGTACTTATAACAAGTACACTAAAATTCATTATGAGTGTCTTCAAAACATATGGTATTATATTTGAGTAATAAAAGTATATGCACAGTAATACCTTTGGCTTATTCCAAATACTATAAATTGCACACTTTGTCTTCAATAACAAATGCTCATTAATAAACAAATATTACTAGCTATACTTGTACAATATACTATTGCATACTATAATGCACTTTGAAAGTATACTTTCAATGCATTGTTACAATGATCATTTTCGGCACCCTGTTAAAATATATGTAAGTGCAAATAAGAAAATAAACTTTCACTTCAAGTATATTATTCTAAAATATATACAGATATTTTTTTTTTTTAGAAAATATACCATAAAAATATACTATATAGGCTACTAAGTATAATTATTTTGGTAACACTTTACAATAATGTTTATTAGTTAACATTAGTTAATGTATTAATTACCATGAACTAAACATGAGCAATGCATGTGTTACAGTATTTATTAATCTTTATTAATGTTAGTTAATAATAATAATCCAGCTGTTCATTGTGTTTATGTTAGTTCACAGTGCATTAATGTTAACTACAACCTTTGATTTTAATAATGTATTAGTAAATGTTGAAATTAATATGAACAAAGATTAACAAATGCTGTAAAGGCATTGTTCATTCTTAGTTCAAGTGTTACCAATAGTTTAAAGTGTGATAAAAGTTGTATTGTGAAAATAGGTAAAAGCATGATGCTAATATACTTTTAATATATTTAAAGACAGTACAATTTTTGTTAATACATTTGCAATGTATTATTGAAAAAGGGAATATATTTCGATATTAATATACATATAGTTTCATCACCATATGACACTGTTTAAACCAAAAAAACTCAGAGAAACAGCGAGTCCTTTGACATATCCTCAGTGGATTTATTTGACTCTTTCTTTGGTACATTCCCTGGAGGAGCTGGAGAACACACACCGCAGCGTCAGGAGCGAGTCCTGCTCATTTGACCCCAATGCTGGTGATCTTGACGTCTCCGTTCACGTGCACGTGTTTGAAAAGGTCGTCGCCGAAGCGGTTGGGGAAGCTCATCATGGTGCCTTCTGGGAGTTTGATGTAGAAGGTGTCGTTGTTGAAGGTGATGGTCAGCTGTTGGAGGTGAGATTAAAAACGCTTTTGAACATCACCATCATATTAAAGTAGTCAATAATCTTATCCCTTAAAACTCATCTTTGATCACCAATTTTTTTCTTAAGGGTAAAACTTTAAATGTCTCAAAATATCTTGAATGCGCGGTTCTATGAATATGGGTTAAAGTGCATATGCTATTGTAAAACGTGTGATAACAGCATTATTCATCCTCAAACCGCTGAGCGGTGGGCGGTTTATTGCATATATAGTTAAAGGGTAACTCTTTATGACACATTGTGTCAGGAGTTTCTGTAATCTGTGAACGGACTAAATCCAGGCACATAGATATGAAAACACTGCAGAACTGGTCAAAGAACACACAGATAAAGGTTCAGGTTTGATCTACATCTATTTAGAGCATCTTTATGCTTCATCTCAGCCGGTATTGGTGTTTTTACACTGGCGTGTTGAACACTGAATGTTGTGCATCGCCAACGTGAAATTTGTAGTTTTTAGACCAACAGACTTTTTAACATCCCCCTGTGGCGTTTAATGTTGTTTATGTGTGTGTGTGGTGTGTTTAATCTGCTTTAACACACACCGTGTGTAAGTTGATAAGTGGACAGCATTGCTGAGTATTTCTTCCTTAAAACTGCAGTGAACCAAAGACAGTCTCAAAAACACATCGCTGGTGTTTCTGACGTCACAAACCACCTTGTAACCAATCAGATCAACGTGAGATCGTCAACCAGTGGATCTCTGAGTGAGTGAGTGGGGGTGGGGCTCATTTGCATATTCATAGAACCGTGCATACTAAATGAGGCGAGGGTGTCGAGTTACATTCAAGATATTAAGACATTTCCTTGAAAAAATATTGTCATTTTGCTGATCAAATTTTCTATCAAGTTTTAAGGGATAAATGTTTGACTACAGGGGGACTAAATGACGGAACGATGACAGCAAAATGGCCATAAAAACACTGTGATTGTTAAATGTTTTTGATTTTCTCAAGACAGCATCACTATTATCATGGTCTCCTCGCTGTAAAATATGTCCATACCGCCTTAAATGAAGTGTATTCAAACTGGCTCTAAAATCTTAGTTGAATCTTGTATACCTTTAAAACCTGATTAAATCATTTTGATGAGTTAAAGTAACGGGAAACTTTTGTCATGAGTGGTTAGAGAGGTGTCAGAGGTCAGAGGTCGCTCACCTTGAACGCTTCGCCCTGCTGAAAGGGGAAGCACGGCTCGCGCTGCTCGGCTCCCCATTCGCCCTGTCTGGAGTTGCACACGATGGTGTTGGTGTCGCCCCGCGCTTGGAAACGAGGGTTAAAGTGAAGGGCGATTGCTTCTTCGTTGTGACCGATGTTGATCGAGAACCTGAGGACACAGAGACGCGTTTGAGGACACTCTTTTGAGGAGATTACAGACTGTAAAAACATATGTGCGCAGTGTGTGTGACGTCACCCATGTTTATGAAGAGCATTTTTGAAGCCCAAAGTGGGCGGAGCCAGCCGTTGCCATCTTGGCCAATAAACGTAAATGTTCAGCGAGGCGGATTAGCTGAGGTGACGTGATGCTAACGCTAGCAGACAAATGGCTAGAAGAGACATCAGCAGCAATCCACCTGTCACTCAAGTGGCCACGCCCTTAATTATGCAGAACTTTAAGGCTTAATATAATTTAACCTCTTAACTGTCACTGTCCCGGTACCGGGACGCCTAACTTTACTTCACTATATTTCTATTAAATCCTAATCTAATTATGACAAATTATATATCATTGGAAAGGTCTAAGGCTTCTAAATAGATATTAAACCCCTGTTTTGTGTTAAAAATGATGTAGGAAGAGTAATTGATGAATTTATGACAAGAGTGCACCTCAAAAAATCTGCATCATAACAGGAGTTTTGACCTTTGTCACAAAAAGTCGACACACCCACTTTTAATCATTGAAACTTCTGTTTTTATGATAAAAGTTCATAATAAAACATATAATCTAGTATTTTTCAATAATAAAAAATATATATAGTATAATGTTATCGTCTAAAAATGATAATATTTATATTTATTACCCGCTAAGATATAATATTATTTTTTTATCGCCTTTTTTATTACATCACATATTTTAGTAGTTATCATAAATTAGGTATCATTTGAAAGCTTATAAACTCAGAATTCATCGTGTGAAAACTGTTTTATAATTGAACGTTGCGTTACCATAGAAACGGTGCTTATTTTATCAGGCTCCTCCCCTTTTGGGCGTCATTATATTTCATAGTTTATGATCGAAACCTTTTCTAATCTTGACAAAATTGATATTGTCAGAAAGGTCAGAGTCTCAAGGTTCCAGATTTTGTGACAGAATTAATATTTGGACAGAAATGTATTAATTTGTTAAGGCAGAATGTATACAGCTAAATTCAATGGAATTCAATGGCACCCGGTGGCTATTTTTGGTACTACGCCTAAACAAAATCTCATGGGAACTTCAATTTTTGTGATATCAACTTCAAATTTGGAACATAACTTGATAAGATGTATGGCTTTGATTTTATAGAAATTTTAGAGTTTGTAAAATATATATTTTATATAAAATAAAAATATATAGTACAGTATATTTGATTTACTGTAAATTTAAACTTCCATAACTTTTTCATACTTTCATTTTTTGAAGTGTTTTCACTTCAGCAATATTCTGCTGAGTGTTTTCTTTAAAACAAGACCAAACTTGGGTATATATTCCAAAGCATTCTTAAATTACAACCATTTAAGTTTGAATAGTGCATTTTAACCCCCGTTCTCAAAAAGGGGTTAAACGGATGAGTTATAAAAATATTCACCCCCCGTCACAGTCGTCATGAAGGGCAACATAAGTGATATAGACCAAAACCACTTTTAGCACCAGACTGGAAACATGTGTTTTCCTGCTGTAAAGTTGGCCATTTTAACATGCGGGTCTATGGAAGTGAGTCTCTTCTGCAGCGCCTCTAGTGGCCAGTGGAGGAACTGCAGGCTAACTCACTCAGTGTTGATTCGGGAAGGTAAGGTCTAAAAACTTTCTGCTGACGTTCCTATCAAGTTATTTATGAATGTTTTTATCATTCTTGAAACATGGGAATGTCACTTGTGAATGTTTTCTGAAACTAGTTACATTTAAAAAAACGTTACATGAACATTGAACTTCCATATGAAATTCCATGAACGATGTATTATTAGTGTTTTGAGACTATTATTAAAGAGCAGACAACCTTGAACGAGTGTTTTATTAAAGTTCCCGGTTATACCTTTCACATCCCGGTTTGATCTTCCCAGAGATCTTCATCTCCATCCCGGCCTTAAAGCTCATGTCACTTATGGTGAACACCTGTTAGATGCAGGAAAACACCATTAAGTCGTTAGTCTCAGGGTTTTATGTTGTGATTATTCATTAAAGGCTTTTTGAATCATATAATCTTCATCATGTGAGATTGTGACAGAGAGGATCCCACAGTTTCTTCAGATCGATGATGGATCTGTTAAATTACTGTTTAACCCGCGGTTCCTGATGCTGTCGATAAGAGGAACGTTTGTTTGACTGTTATCTGAGCGACCAAACCCAACGTTAATGATAAACCTCGGATAATAAAGTCATAAAGACACAAACAGGAAGATATTGAGCAAACATTTGATAATACACCTCTAGAGATGACATACAGACCCAGAATGACTGATAATCAAAGCAAACCAGAAAGAAACTCTAATCTTTGCTTTGCACCACATTCTGGTCCCCATATTAAACTCTAAACAATGCTGGGTTATTTTCACCCAAGTTTGGATCAAATATGGACAAACCCAATCATTGGGTTACATAATGTTTAACCCAACGGTTGGGTTCATCCATATTTGACCCAAATGTGGGTTAAAACAATCCTGCAAATGTATATTGATGGCTTTCGGATAAATGTTATATTGCAGAATGAGTGTGTGTGTTACGCTCATAATCTGTAACGTTTCTCTATGATCGTGAAGTTTGAACGCTACAGAAACCCACCGTGGGGCCGTTTACACGACACCGTTTTCAACCAAAAAATGTATGCGTTTCGTTCATTTATTCACACAACAACTGCGTTTTGAAAAAGAGCAAGTTTTTTAAAATCTCTGTGTAAACAAAAACGCGAACGAGAACGCTGACGTCATGCTCACGCGTATCACGTGTTCGATCTATAGTGTTTCATCGCCATCTACTGGCCTGGCAGCAGAATACAGCGCTTTAGATCCGTGTGAATAAGGGATCGTGAATGTGAATATGAATCCACATAACAGCAAGTCACTGACATTCACACACTCTTTGATCACTCAAAACTTCATAGAGACAGTTTTTAAAGGAACTCAGCTGTAGAGTTTAATGTATTTATATTAAAGTATTTTGCATCCATTTACTTTTACTTGGCTATATTTAGGTTAATTAGTAATTATTAGCATGATACACTCTCAGAAAAAAAGGTACAAAAGCTGTCACTGGGGCTGTAGGCCTACCTTTTAAAAGGCTGCATATTGGTACCTTATTGGTACATATTAGTACCTAAAATGTACATATATTACCACCTAAAATGGACATATTAGCTCATGAAATGTACTTATTAGCACCTAAAATGTACATATTAGCACTTAAATTTTACATATTACTTAAAATGTTTATTAGCACCTAAAATGGACAAAAGTTTCCCTTTTGAAAAGGTAGAGCCCCAGTGACAGCTTTTGTACCTTTTTTTTCTGAGAATGTATATTAAATATTCCCAAATTCTATATTATTTCATTTTAATTTCTTAATGAATTCACTTTGTTGCACAGTGTTGCAGGAGTTTACAGTGAGATTTCACCAGAGGAAAAGGCCTAATATAATATAATATAATATAATATAATATAATATAATATAATATAATATAATATAATATAATATAATATAATATAATATACTGCTCAGAAAATAAAGGGAACACTTAAACAACACTTAAAAAGTAAAAACAAGAAAAAGTATTTAATAAGATTATTTCATTCATTCAGATCTATGATGTGTTATTTTAGTGTTCCCTTTATTTTTTTGAGCAGTGTATAATATAATATAATATAATATAATATAATATAATATAATATAATATAATATAATATAATATAATGTAAATGTGACTTACCATCTTGCTGTTTGGTGGATGAGCTGCTGAGTGTCTCGTTCACCTGTCGATCCTCATTATGAACCCAGGAGGCGGAGCTTAAAAACCCTGTCCAATAGGAAGAGAGCAGAGCGGTGAGACTGCACCAATCACACTCAACTGAGTAATCTCTGAGATTCCCTCTTGATTCAGTCTCTGATGATAACATCATATATTACAGTCCACATATCTCTATTAATATGTTAGGAATGCTTGTGTGGAGTAGTTTACATGATTAACTCATGATTAGCTTTTTTTTCAAGGAACATTATTGTTATACATTTGTTCAATTGAAAAACGAAACAAACAAAAAACCCTAATATGTTATTATACTTTGATCAAACATAAGCAAATGAATAAAAACATTTGTGAACATCTCCAAGTAGCCATACAAGTGTGATCCTTAAACCCCAATATAACCCACAGAATAAGTGCAATGCGTGTTTTCCCGATGTCCATGGAGATGTTCTCCTCAGCTGTGATTGATGTGAGCTGGTTTTGTCCATGTTTCTCACGGTCAGTGCTGGTCATTCAGCCGGACGTAATGAAATCTTTCACCCTCTGATCGACACACTGAACACGCCGGATGCCTGGATCTGAGGAGAACGAATCTGATCTGTGATCAGGAACATCTCAGTGTAGAGAACCATCAGGACTTCATCTGCAGACTCTGTTCATCTGAATGTTCAGGTATGTGTGAGACATTCATCATTTATATGTACTGTGTGTTTAAGACATGACGAATATTGTGCCTCTTCTCAAACTCCTGATGTGTTCAGGCTCTACTAGAACAGGTTTTCCTGCTTGAATGTTGATTATTCTCCTCATATTCTCCATTGTTGCGGCTCCTCTCTTCCCAGTCTGTCAGTAACGCTCTGTTCACTTCCTGTCTCTGTGAAGCCCCTCCTCCTGAAAAGCACACTGTGCTCTGATTGGTCGGCTGGAGCAGTGTGTTGTGATTGGTCAAGTGCTTCAAACATGAATTGTTCTCAATAGGCTGTATTTAGAAAATTGGTGAATATTTATTTTATGCCGACTTTAATGTGAGATACTCGAGGCCAGGGGTTTCAGAATGTTTTTAAAAATATATTCTTTTTGTGATCAAAGATGAGGACTTTTCCCGTGTTTAAATGCTATAATCGGGTCCCCGGTGCTTCTATCAACCCAGACAACATGAAACGTTAAATCAATACCGACATGTCACCGCTGTCTCAGGACCTGTGGACACTTGTGGAAGAGTTCAACATGATGATGAACTCCACAACAACTACACAAACGTCTCCGCTAACATTCAGAAACGTGTAAAAGTGAAGCTCTCCCTGAGTCTCTCCGTAAGGCGGAGCTAAAGCTGCTGTAACTCCTGATCCTGGATCAGTCAGATCCGCCTGTGCTGTTATTGCTTGTGTGAAGGCGCCGCCCTCTTCTGAGTGGAGGTGGAGCTAAAGCTCATTTGCATTTTTTACCCTCAGGTGCTCTTCGTTTCGGAGTCACACTTGTTATCTTCCCGGTCAAAAGTGACCGGACACCTAAAAATGAAACTTTCTCCATCCTAGTAAAACCAATGCAATTCATTTTTGTTCTATAATATTTATTCTTTTAAATTTAGTATTTTGAGAAAATTTAATTGAATTTATTAACATTTATGGTTTATTTTTGCCATGGAAAAATATATATATTATATTATTTTTTTCAAAAAAATATTAATGCAGTATTTTAGTTTAATATAGAGTCTAGGCCTTCAGAAAAAAAAATATTTGTTGAAGAAAATTAGCACCATCTGGTTACAGTATAGAGAAAAAGCGTAGAATCATGGTGTAACCACTAGATGGCATGTACAGCTCTCTATGGAGAGGCATGTGAATTCCCCAGCTGTTTATGAACACATTTTTTTTTGTTGTTGTTGTTGGTGGATTTGTATTTATAGTTGAAACAATCTCAAAAACTATTTCTTATAAAAAAATTGACAAAAAACAAAAATGCACATTTTTTTTTTTGTTGCGTTTTTTTTTTTTTTTTTTACAATTTCCCATTCATTTCCTATGGGGGTCACTTTTGACCAAAGACCACAAGTGTGACTATTTTTTTAAGACCACTTAGCATGCTCAGATCATGACCTCAATTTTTTTGTGTGTTCACATACATAATGCCATAAAAGTCACCAAGTTTTGTAACATCGCGATGAAGCTGTGATTTTTAAAATTCAAAACAGATTTCTTTAATCACAATTTATTGGTGTTTTTGTGTATAAAAGTGTGTGTGTATGTGTGTGTGTAGGGGTGGGTGTGTCTGTTTTGCACTCTTGATGTTTTAGAGTGTCACCCCTTCAATGCTGAGCACTTTTTTTCTACATCGTGGCCGATTTGTAGATTGTACACACAAAAATTCTCAAAGTTTTTGTGTTTTTGTCAATTTCCCATTCATTTCCTATGGTCGGTCATTTTTGACCGAAGAGCACAAGTGTGACTATTTTTTTTACGACCACTTAGCATGCTCGGATCATGACCTCAATTTTTTTTTGTGTTCGCATACCCAATGCCATAAAAGTCACCAAGTTTCGTAACATTCTGATGAAGCTGGGATTTTTAAAATATCAAAACAGAAAATTTTTCGGTCAGAAATGACCGAAGAGCACCTGAGGGTTAAAGGGACACACACAAAAACGGCGTGTTTTTGCTCACACCGAAATTTGACGAGCTATAATATATGATCTGGTATTTTGAGCTGAAATTTCACACACATTCTGGGGACGCCAGAGAGTTATATGTAAAAAGGGGTATGGCACCTTTAAAGGGGTCATGAACTGGCTTTTAAAATTTTATTATATTGTTGTCTGAGGTCAACTTAAGACGTTCGCTTGGTTTTTGCTTTCAAAAACATCAAAATGAATAAGTAATAGACTATTTTGTACCCAAGTTGTGAGCCTTCCTGAAAAACAGTCGGTTTTTATGGGCGTGTCGCACTGAAGACTTGGAAATAAACGCCCACTGCTGTGAGTGGATAACAGTTTTGCATATTATAATGAGTTTAACTCACCCGTCGGTGTACGTGGGGGAAAACGTCCAATGTTGTCAAATGGCAACCGGATGCGACGTTTTTGACTTTTAGAATTATCTTTTAAATTGACAAACATCATATGTGTAATTGAGGGCACAGTTCAGACGCAATAAAAAGATAAGTTGTCTCTCGCCATTGACTACCATTTATATTTTTTCCGAAATAAGGTCCCATGAGCCGGAAGTGGAGGGGCGGGACTTAGGCTCTCACCCGTCAGTGTACGTCATAGACTGTGGTGTACGAAAACGTCCAATGTTTTTTCTTTGTAATGGCCCTTATTCTTCCCCTGGCAAAACTGTTTTGTATTTATTTTAATGTCATTTTTCTGTATATTGTAGTGTATATTTTGTTAATTTTTTGTACTGTGTTTTTGCAATAAAAAAATAAATAAAAAAAACGTCCAATGTTGTCAAAGGGCAACCGGATTCGCCCATACATGTTCAAACAAGAGTCCATGTGTTGCACAATATTCCTGTCAGATCCAATATAGACGGCACAGCATGTTCTTTACTCTTAATCGCTCTGCAAATCCAGTCTTGTTTACAAAACAATCCTCAGTGAAATGAAGCGAACAGACGACGATGTTTTACCCTCATCAGCTGGAACGTCATTAAAAATAAAGTTCATACATGCAGTCCTATTGGAGTCCAGAGGAAGCTTATGCAGCGACTGACTGTCTTCTTCCACAACCAGGCGCTGCACAATATTCTGTATCGTTCGGTAGATCGATCCGGTGTGTCATCACGAGGTAGGCATCTATTAGGCTACTTAGCTAAGCGTGTAATGTCTTCTTCTGCGGGGGTGGTGTGTTAACCCCTTCGACGTCATAGTTTCCCACTTTTAAAAACGAGGCGTTTTCAGAGGCTGATGTCAATAAAAGCTTTTATTGGACTAACAAGCACGTTTTCAGTTCTGAAACTTACAGGATATTCTTATAATATGATGACCTCTTAGACTAGATGTCAAAAGCTCAAGGAAAATATGATTTCTCAGTTCATCACCCCTTTAATTGATAAAATGATTGACAACGGAACTTTAAAGTTAACTAGATGAACCAGGAAGTGTTTGTATTCAGAAAGCTGTGTGAGGTTCAGTGAGGGTGTGTGTTCAGCTCTGTGTTCTCTGAAAGCAGAAGTGGCTCCTTGTGCCGTGAACTAAAGCGTCAGGACGTGTGCGTGTGTGTGCGTGTGTGTGTGTGTGTGTGTGTTATGAGAGCCATTAAGACGAGCGCGGGACATGATGTGAGGTTTATAAATGATTAGCTCAGGCCAGATGTGTGTCCTCACGGGTCAAAGTCTCTGCGTCTGTGCAGCTGGACTGGCCATGTTTGAGAGTGTGTGAGGAGATCATGGAGAGCCCGAAGCAGACGATCGTCCGGCTCTCGCAGGAGCTGAGCTGTACACCCACCTCCCGCCGGCTGGCTGAACACCTGGACCGGCTCGACCCGCTCCGACACCTGAGGCTGGAGTTCCTCATGCCCAGAACAGCAGACCTGCCCAACGGTGAGCCAAACACCTCTCACACACACACACTCATGGGTTCATGAGCAGTCACATGACAGACGACACGCAGAATTACACCACGATGTATTTGCTCAGATTCATGCAGAATGCAAACAAATTAAGTTTGGTGTACTAAAGAAAGATTGTTCACAACACTACATGGTCAATAACCTTTTTGAATTTGCTAAATACTTCATTCATAAATGCAGATTTTGAAAATCCTTTCCTCCTTTTATTAATGAACTCAAATGAAGAAGCTACTACATTAGCCATGCGGTTTCTTCAAGAGCTCTTGCTACCCCTGCAATTACATAGGTTACTTGATATATAAAAAAATACTTTTAATTCATTTTCTCTTCCTTACCTTCATGATTGTATATTTCATTTGAGACTTCATTGCTGTTACATTTTGTAATTTGCAAAATACATCTGCCTTTGAGAATTGTAAACTGTTAATATTGTTTGTCCAACACAGATTTTGTGTGTATTTCTCCATAAAACATTTGTTTTTTTTTAAAGTATTTG